AGTTGTTATAGTAATTAAATATTCATCTGTCTTTAAATAGCTTTAACAACAACTTTATTGACTTTATCTTCGACATTAAGATTTCAGTACCAAAACAAAAACAAATGGAAAAAGTAAAATAAAGGTTAAGTAAGAAAGAAAGGAACAATTGAATATTATCATAAAAGAAAAAATTACTTGGCTATGTACGACTTCTACGCTACTCGTATGGTAAGAAAGTTTAATTAGAGTTCGGATGCATAGCAATTTAGAATATTTTCAGTGTAAGAGGCACTGAGATTTAAGATGTTTTGATCGCACATGGACATCATATATAAAAATATTGCCTTGCAGGACATATTCGTAAAATTGCTGTTTATCGAGTATAGGCTCTCCAAGAAGATACCCCTTATATGAGAAAGTGATGAGTGGGTACATTTCAACAGATAGTGGAATTCATCACCAAATAGTAATATAGCGTGAAGAAATACTCTTTATAAAAAAAGCGACAACACAACTGAACAATTAGATTCTATTATTCTGTGTCAGTGTGTTAATTGTATTTTGGGGGTTATCTATTTGGATGATCCCAACTCACTCTTTGTCTAGATGGTACTGAATTTTTATTTTTTTTACTCTTGTAAATTGTATATTTTTGTCTTTTTTTCAATGTTTGTGACATGTAAACCGAGCTGAGTGAAATAAATCTTCTTTTCGTATCTTGTCTTACATATGTCAAGCCGCAGGTTAGCATAGACGACCTGTCAGAGGTAATAACTTGCATACTAGTATCAAAATTCTTTTTCAATTTAAACAGGTCACTGACAGGTAGTAAAAGATGAGCACGACCTTGTTTTGAAGGCTTTTTATTCATCCTGGGTGTTCATGGGCACAGAGTGAGATCCAAAAGTATGCTTAGGTTAAACCTTCGATCAGGCGTCCTTTGATAACAAAAGGAAAAAGGATGATTTACAAGCATAAAACACAATTTTATACCTTCGTTTTAGTGAGAACGGCAAACCTCTCTAACGACTTGGGAGGACGTTTTGACAACCTTACCCAGGCGCTGAAGGTTCGCGTGGAAAAATTTCACTTCCGTTCGGCGTCGTCGTCTAATTTCGTCTCACCGATTCGTCATCGATGCTTATGTTCTCCTTTTCTGGGAAGAACGACGACCGTCTGATCGCAGTTAATGTTTACGTATATTTTACGTAATAGTTTCAGGTTACTTACCATGATAGTAAAGTTTGATGGTTGCCCAAAGCACGCCTTGCTTTTGTTGAGGCCAAATATATAAACAATATTGTATATAATGGCCATCACCCAACAGAATATGGTGATTCCTCTGAAGAAATTCGCTCGTCCGTCAAGACTGAAAGTTCTTTTTGAGTAGATGACGATACAAACCCAAGCCCCTAGGAGAATCAGCTTAAAAACAAACAGAAATGGAATTGAGATCCGTAACTGTTTCTGACCACGACTTAGGGTCTAGTTTTGGCCAGTGCATTGTTGTTTAGGGGGCATGCCGTTTTATTTCAAAGCGTCGATGATTTATGGTTAAAAGTATCAATGCCTTGGCCAATAGGGTTTGAAAACCCTCCGGCCAGTTACACAAACACGGACAGTCCAATCAGCCAATAGGAGATTGAAGCAAATGCAAGCGGCCAATAGAAAGGGCGGAAAGAAAAAACACGCGTACTTGCGCCGACTGCTTTGGGTTTTTCCCTGATTGAATAAAAAGGTGGATTCGTCTTTTATAAGAAGCCGGGAACACGAAGTACGGGTCCGATTTTCCTAATTTATTTTCACCTGATTGAGTAAATCAATAAATGAATGGGCAAGTCAAAAAATAAATTATAAAAGAATTCTGGCAGCTGACACAACAAAGTAGATGCTCACAGTGATGCTGGAAATGAAATAGAAGAAATGATAGCTTTACCTTCTCGGCCCATAAAGTCATTTGAATAAAAACGTTCTATAAAGGAGAATCTTTGCTGACGTCATTGTTTACATTTTTCCTCTTTAGCATATGACTTAACTCATAGGAGCCGACGCCGTATATCATAAACAAAATGCAAAAATTGAAAGAGCTGATTAAGTTGTGCAATTTTCAGCTCTTTGCAAGTAATATTGAAGGACATATCAGCCATCAAAAACTGCGAAATTGCTGGGTAGCAAAAAAGTTAATCAAAAGTAGGTTGCATTTGATCGTCTGGGTGAACGTAGTCCTGAATAGGACTGTTGTTGTTGACAGTGACTGACGTTTCGACAACCTGTGCGGTAGTCATCTTCAGAGTCAAAGTGAGTTGTATCACGTCAGTTGATGGTATTATACTCTGGTTGTTGATCTGATTGGTCAATTACGTCGCGATGTTATTGGTCGTCTGTCAGTTAAGCCGTGATGTCATTGGCTATGAAGACTCCAATCAGTAATTGGTGCGTTTCGATCCGTCTATTGTGACAGTTTAACAGTCGTCTATTGTTAGTCAAATTGTCAGTTCTCCAGTCGTTCTCTCGTAGTTAGTTTTGCTTGATTTCGTCAATAGCCAGGGGCACCCAACGAGAATATAGTTCAAAACCACTTAAACATAGCTTGTTAAACGTATTTTAGTATTTAAACGGTTGATATAGGCATATTTTTATCCCCTAAACATTTTTCATCTGTTCGGATTTCCTAGCTGAAAGTCTAGTGATCCGAAAATTATAGGGATCAAAACTTACCTTTCGAAAGTTTTAGCCAGAAATAAGACTCCCGAAAATTCTAGGTGACCTTTTTAGGGTGAAAATCAGTTAAAAATAGGCAATTATTCCAATTTTTAGATGTCCGAAAATCCTAGGAGAGGCAGGCAAACAAGAAATTTTACAACAAATGTTCCGAAAATTCTAGATCTCAAATCGTCTTCCGAACAGATATTTTTCCGAAAATTGTCGTTGGGTGCCCCTGAATTACTCGTTTGTACGGCGCTGGTAACTGTTGGCTACGATTCAGTGGCGTTTGTTCTAAGTTAGTAAACCAGCTTTCTAAAGTCTGTCCTCCGGTGCAGACAGGGAGCAGTGTAAAAGATCAAATGCTGCGACTAACAATAGACGACTGTTAACTGTGACAATAGACGGATCGAAACGCACCAATTACTGATTACGAGTCTTCATAGCCAATAACATCACGGCTTAACTGACAGACGACCAATAACATCGCGACGTAATTGACCAATCAGATCAACAACCAGAGTATAATACCATCAACTGACGTGTTATAACTCACTTTGACTCTGAAAATGACTACCGCACAGGTTGTCGAAACGTCAGTCACTGTCAACAACAACTTAACAGTCCTATTCAGGACTACGTTCACCCAGACGATCAAACACAACCTGCTTTGAAATGACTCCTGGGTTCAACCTTTTCACAAAAAAGTTAATGAGCCATACATTCTCTGTAAAAATTTCGAGTTTTTAGAAGAGAATTTATCCGAAACCATTCCGTTTATTGGGCTCAAACTTTCAGAGATAACTGAAACTATGCCCTTTCAATATTCAGAGTTTTTGTCTTATTAGCGGCATCAGTAGTGATAAGCATATGTTAACGAGGCAAAAAGTGTGAACAAAGATTCACCTATATGGCACTGCTACTTACCAATTCACTGACTCTTGAAACACCTAGGTGGCTCCTTAAGTAAGCTTTGTTAATTGTTATTGGTGCCATTTCTGGATCCTGACGAGGCTGGGGCTGAACAGGGACCCCCTGCCCCTGAACTGGTTGAAGCATCTGGACCTGTTGAGGTTGTTGGACAGCGGGCTGTCCTCCAGGAGGAACATAGTATTGTATAGGCGATCCCTGTGGTAACATCACATGCTGACCAGGAATGGCTTGTACAAATACTGGTTGTTGTTGCCCAGGAGGTACTTGGTACATCATCTGCTGGCCAGGAGGTGGGGCGGCCAGAACTGATTGGCCTGAAACAGGCATGGCTATAACTGGCTGTCCTGTGGCAGAGGGGGCCAAAACTGGCTGGCCAGTGACAGGCACAACTGGCTGGTTTAACGGGACATGGCCTTGTGACTTGTCATGTTCAAATTGCTGACCAATGACAGGTTGCTGCATATTTCTTTTTTTTGGCTGAATATGTAACGTAACAACTGTGGGAAAATTTTTCTTATAAGCGTAAGGCATTGGTATCTATTTCTATGGTTTTTCTGGTTTGTACTCCTGAACATTCCGTAGCTAGGATGATGTCAGGCTACACTGAATTCTGAATTATATTTGAAGTGATTATAAAGATCATTAAAACAGTTCAGCAAAACCTTGCCTATTTAATATTGGCGCTCTTTGGGCTGATCGAGTTAATTTCCTTGGCGCCTTGCATTGGTTTTGCTGGCTTTGGTTAAAAAAGTTAATGGGCTGTGTTTCTCTCCCTTACCATGAATATACTTACTACCAGACTATCATAGACCTCCGATTCCAACACAGTCACTTGAACGGGCGCTCAGACTCGAGCGCTTAGAAGAAAATTCATTCCAATTTCAAGCATAGAAAAAAAACTATCTTCAGACACATAGGACAGCGATGGGAACAAAGGTCACTGTTGCTTTCGCAAATATCTTCATGGTGAAAGTAGAAACATTTAACTATTAAACAAAAACGAAAAAAAGCCAATCTGTTGGAAATGGTTAATATAGATCAGACCACATCTTCTCTCTCTGGGATACCAGAAGCGAACAATTTATGACACACTTTATTAAAATTAAAGCAAATAACCATCACGCTACTATTAAATTCGCAGAAGAACTCTCTGAAAACAGCATCTCATTTCTGGATACAATTGTGTACATAGCCAACTAAAACTTCTCAATATACAATATACTTATTCGTCGAAGCCCGTGCTACCGGTAAAACTTTCAAAATCTCTTACTTCCACAGTCACCTTTCGTTTTCGACAGAACAGGGATTCGTTGAGAAAACGTAACGTTCAAGATCAGAGTACAAACTGCCGTGTGACTTACGCTGACTGCATCGAAGAATGAAGAGAGATAAAGAGAGTGAGAGAGAGTTGAACGCTTAATAAGACTTACGGGCACGTACAAACAAGAAAAGTCATCTTCCTTCACTCTAGTGCGTATTTTTGCGTTTAATTAACTCGTTTTACTCCTTAAGTTTGCTACCAAGGCGCGCGATGAAATAGCGCAAACAGACGAATCGATGGATTCCGAGAAATCGAGGAATATGATCGCTTTTTATTTGTGTGCATATATAGCGGGGCGGGTGGAGTGTAATTTTTTGTTTTAGTTGTTCTTTGACAGTATATTGCTCTTGACTGATAGCATGGAAACTCGGGACTGTTCTAACTCTTATGAACTATTTGGATTTCATTTTTTTCTCTTTAAAAAGTGTCGATGTACGAAATAAAGTGGGATTGTCACGCGCAAACAAGAGGATTTCTTGGAAAAAAGAAAAACACTAGAAGACGCTGTTTTAACGCAAACAATAATATGATTCTTTCTTCGCTAACTGTAGAAAGCGGAAATTGGGTTTATTGATACTTTGATAAGTTTCTCTATTAAAATAGAGAACTTATCTAGGATTTATCTGTAAAACAGGTACCTCGCAATGACTAAAATCACTGTACTCCTGTGGAACGACGTTACAACAGTGAACTTAAGACGATTATTTATAATGTTGGCTCCTTTGCCAATAGTTTTTGAAAAGGTACGTGTTTTTTAATGAACTTACAATTATTGACTGAAAATGCTCTTGCAAGTTGTATACTGATGAACTCCTGGCTTCAGATCCTCCCAATTAAATGAGCTAGTTCAGTGTTAATTCATTTTGAGAGAGGTCGATTACGAACCTCCAATCCCCCAAGCTCCAAAATGGCTGCATGTCTCAGTTTTCTACAGTCTTCTCACGCAGTTTTCGATAGAAAAAGTTTTTTTTCCGCAGCTGAAGCAGATATTTGGCTGTTAGGTAACTTAAATTACATTTAAATTAAATTTAAATCCGACCTAAAGAGAAAACTTTCAAGAGTGAAAACGATGTGACGCTGACTGCTTTCCAGACTTGAGGCGAGATAAAGAAACTGAGAGAGAGATGAACGCTTAATAAGACTTACTGGCTCGGTTTAAAACAAAAAACATCATCTTACCTCACCCTAGTACGTATTTTTGCGTTCAATTAACTCGTTTTACTCCTTCGCTACCAAAAAGCGCGCGATGAAATATCGCATCAGTGAAGCACGTCTGTAAATATAAACGCCCTATACGTGAAAGCCCCTGAAGCCTCTGACGCTACGTACGTTATTCGTTGAGAACAATGTAAATCAAGCTGAGAATGACAGGTCAAGTGCTTTTGCATTTCTTTTGCGTAACTTGGTAACTAAATATTTGCTAAATGTTTGAACCCATGTGACATGCAAGTCGTAATACCAAAACCACCCATAAAAGCAGCAGAAGGCCTTAAGATTTTTATCCTCTGTCTACGTTTTGTTCCTATATCTGGCTAGGATCGTTTTAATAAAAAGATCAGCGATCGCTGCAGCGATTAAATACGAAAAAAAGAGACAATAACAAACAAAAACAAACCTTTTTGACAATCGTATGCGTTTATTTCAGCTCTAGTGGCCGCTTGAGACTGGGTCCAGGGATTTTGTCGAACTGCACTATGGGACGTTTGGAAACAAACTTTGCTCAGTCAGTAGGATCAGTAGTAATCGGCTCCTAATCCATTTTTCCGTGCAGCCAATAAAAAAAGCGCTGTTCTCTAAATTCTCAAAGGGTGCAGTTGGATTAGATTTTTATGTTAGCAGGAGCCCATGACCATGGTTGTGGCGGCGCGATTTCTGTGACGGAGCGAAGATGTGTCGCGCCGATCTCGAAAATGGAGCGTTACATATCGGAGAGGTTTTGTGCCATACTTTGGTGCACTGTGAACACCTTTTCGGCCCGTCACGAAAGTGAATAAGTAGGAGCGATGACTGGAACCAACTGAGCCAGTGGTAAATATTCAGGAGTGAGGACTGGAATTTAGTGCACCAAACCCTCCGGGTCAACAGCTCAGGCACGATGTCCGATGTATGTGATCAACTGGTGACGCCCCGGGCCGTTGCACACACGTGGCGCCACTGAAAGCTATGCGGTAAAAGCTAGGCTCCTGTCCTTACAAAATGATGGGGTCCACCTTATTTTCTAAGGGAAAAACCCTGGGAACTAGATTAGTCATGAGTCAGTCCTTTGCTGTTTTTTTTTTTTTTAAGGCTTTAGTTTTCCTGACGAAGGAACATGCAAGCAGTTTGTTGACATAGTTAATGAAAATTGATCCTGGCATCTAGATAGTCATATCTCATAATCATCGATTTTGCATTCTTTGATGCTGTGTATGGAACACTTTGTTGGAGTGATCAATGGTCACCAAGCAAGATCGCCACTTTTTCAGTTCTGCTGTCCTAAGTATTATATCTATACTGTATCTATTTTTCTTAGTCATAATGTACAATTTTACTGAGGGGCACATTATAAGTCTAACTAGATGTGCCCCTCTCCTTCTTAGTATTATTTCATTTTCTGTAATTAATAGTGTTTTTGTTATTGATACTAAGTGGAGAAAAAATAGAATACAAGTACAAATACTGGTTAAGTTTCGAAAGGACGGGGGTAGACAGAATTAGTAGAAGGATAGAAAGCAAAGGGAATGGTCTGACTAAGTTGCAGCTTTTAATCATGGGGATAAGCATTCGTAATTAAAAATGTGCCATAAAAATTGTTATAAACAACACTTGGCTGATGGTGTTGTTTTCGCAAATTGGCATAAATTTCGACCATGAGTGTCGATTGAGAGCAGTGGAAAGAAGATTCAGAAGTAAATGATTACAATTATGCTTAAATGAATGGTTTCAATCCTTTCATCTTCTGGCTCTGTTTCAAGGCGATGATGACTGTCAAAACCAAGAGTGAGGAAAGAGAGTGAGGACTTGTAACTAATCCAGTACAGGTCCCTGATCTACTTAATGGTATTGAAAACAACACGCAAATAGGTTAAAGCTTCAAAAGAGAGAGAAAATGACATTGTTAATGGCGCTTTATGGCTTTGGAGAGTACCATGATCGTTTTATCTTGCTGTTTTTTTTCTTAATGTTGTGCGCTTGCTCAAACTATGCCAACATTGATGGCCAAAAACGTAGCAATGTGTCAAGATCTAAAATTAAAACGTAACAATGAAAAATGTAACATTGCGTCAAAATTTAAATAAAACAGCCGTTTGTTTGAAAAACCGGCAGAACGATTGGTTGAATGCTCGCAATACCAATCACCGATCACATTTCAAAGCATGCAGCAAACGGAAGGCGTGGGATTTTTATTACGCTTGGCTGTGGATCTCCTGATTGCAATTGAAGCCAGTTTCTCAGCGTCTCCCATTATGAATTTCGACATAAAGTTGTTCGTATTAATCGTAGCAATGGGAAAAGTGAAACCAAACGAAGTCTCCGATAATCAAGGTGAGATCATTAATAATAATAATCACCGTCAGTTACCATGTACGGTACTGATAAATTGATTGCCAGCATCTTTTGTAAGCCGATTCCCAGGATCAGGGTATTTCAGAAAGGCAATTGCAACTTAGAATTTCAAACATATACCTGGGTTACTACAAATACTAGCTTTGGTTTTCAAAGTTACTATATCCACAACTACTGCCACATCATGGCCAGTAAAGTAAGAGGGCTGAGGGTAGAATCGAATGACTTGCCGCAGCTCATTCTCTCTTGCTTGCTGGTGGCTTTTGTATACTAAATTCTTTACCACTATCAAGCAAAGAAAATTAACAAACGCCAAGCAAAATAATTGGAAGCTAAGAAGTCCATTTTTACCGCTCAATGTAAAAACGGAAAAATAAATAAGCTCATTACTTTGATAAAAATGAAAAGCCAGTTTTGCAATGTCTAACTAGGTATCCTACGTTTGACCGAGTTGGAGCTACATGCGGACATCTAAAATCTTCGTCTTGCGTCTTTTACAAATTCTTCGTCATATCGCGCATTAGTTATTTTCGTACGTTGCAGTGCTATGTTTATATACCATGTGATAAGTGTTCCGTGTCTCTTCTTGACAATTTGACTAAAACTTTGGGAGGGTTTTGAAAGCAGGGGGAGAAGGGTCTACACAAAGAATAAGCTCTAGATAACTCAAATGCGCTCTTCTGTTTAGGGCCCTACGGATTATGCTTGTAAAATCCAGTATTGTGTTTTTTGGCGTCACCCTGTGCAACCAAGGTGTTATGCTGAAAATTATGCTTGCCTGGGGGTATTATGCTCCTAATTGTGTTGGATTAAAATGACTCTTTTCCATCCATCAACTATAAAGCTATCATTTCTATACACTCTTACATTGAGCAGTTTCATACCTTGAGGGACTGGAACGAATTAATGTAATATAGGACCCACATGGTCAGAAAGAGTCAGTACAGACATCTTTTAAAAATCCTTAAGTCTGGTCTTAATCGGATTAATATTGAGCAAGACATGGCCATTCAAAAACTTAACAATTGCCGCTTAGAAATGCATGGATATGATTGCCGGGCTCCAGGTGTCTAGTATTAGCTGCCGAACGTCCTGTAGAGAAACGTAAAGATGTCAACTAAATATTGACTTTAAATCCTTCCAGGTAATCTGGAGGAAACATATACCGTTCAAGACTTGAGAAATGACTTGCAGACCGCCATGGAAGTAGAGCACGCGACCATCCCACCATACTTGACTGCCCTAGCCACTCTCATGACTGGCAACAACTCTGACATTCAGAACAGACTACGCGACGTTTTTATTCAAGAGATGTTTCACCTGGCGCTTGCCGCCAATATTCTCAATGCAGTTGGAGGGAAACCATCACTGAATTATTCAGGATTCATTCCTGACTACCCTTCAGTGCTCCCAGGTGGCCTCCATCCCAAACTGATTGTCCCTATCAAAAAATTCACACGCCTTCTGGTGAAAGATGTGTTCTCGATGATAGAACAGCCAGAGGTAGAAGTAGCGACATTAAGTAGCTTTAAACATATTTTTAGGTTTGTACGTAGAATCAAAGATAGATTAGGTTACTGCCAAAGAAGTGAAGCCGGAGTTAACTGCGAATTACCGGGGAACATAATGACCCGGATGAATCAATCAGGTTGCTTTATTTCAAACGCTGAAAAGGCTCAGTTTCTGGAAGGTGAGTCTGACATGATTATTCTTTTTAACCATAAACTTCTATGCTCATATAAAAAACTAATAGCCTGATAAAACAGTCGACATTTTGTGACGTCACCACAGGTTTTTCAACCAATGAAAAGTACTACTCAGATCTGGGTTGTGACACGTCATCAGTATGGAATTTCTGCGCTCGTTTCTTAGACGTCATTTCGCGGGGAAATCAGTGGTGACGTTGTGTAATATCAACTTTTTTCTCTGGGTCAACGGTCGATTGATTGTATTTCGGAATAAGAATACGCAAAGTCGCAAACTTTTTGGTACAAATCTCTTGTACCGTGATTCTTGGTCCGTTTTAACTCTACCGACATCGGGAATTTTATTTGAGGCAGATTCCTACTCTAATTCAGTGAATGCAAAGAAGTTATTTTCCATTTATCCTTATTCTGGAATACGGTCAATCGTAGCTTTTAGGCTACCAAAATTAACTGAATTTATTTATAAAAATATTCTCAGTAATGCAAATTGACTTGAAATGGACCAGTAGTTTTGAAGTGGAAACGACGACTCGCGGCAAGCCAAGAAATATCAGTGGGATGAAAATAAAGATCGTTTCAGCGTGCATATAATTATGCAGTTGCATATAGTTAAACTGAGTTAAACGGGCAATGGCATGCACGTAACTGGATTTGCGTCTTACTCATGGAACAATTAAAAAACCTTCGCATCATGCGGCCCATTTTTATAGTGCCACGCTGCGCTATTCACGCTGTTTATGGAATAACACTTTGATAGCGTCATAATAACCTACATTACTAACTGTGTTATTAAAAATAAAATATTATTTTGACTACAGAATTTAAGCAGCGTCGATTGTTAAAGGTGATTCATAGAGAAGCAAAAAAGGTGTGTCTCAAAAAACGCCCTTTTATTATAATATTGACTATTCTGGACTTTACACCTTTCATCTCTGAGCCACATTCCATTTTGAACTTTTCTCGTGTACTTCTCAGATTTACAGGTAAACCGTTGACATTGCGAATTTCTATCCAGTGGAAAAGCATTACGAATATCATTTGCGCTATCCAGTGGATAGAGGTTTAGGGCCAGTTAATTGATCGGAGTTTAGCCCTTGTTTATGGACCGGTCATTATTTATCGCCTGGGGGGGGGGGGAGGGGAGGATTTTGGGGAATCACTTGATTTTTAGGAGAAAAAAAGGGGGATCAGTCGTAACTGAGAACCCAAAAGGGGGAATCACGGAAAGCTTTGGAAGGATTCAGAGGGGGGACCACTCAGATTTGCTTGGAAAATGAAGAAGACATGGGGAGCCCAGGGGATCGTGAAAGTCATCAAATATTATTAAGGGGGATCACTTCAGTGAAGTAACATTTAAAGGGGGGATCGGCTAAATTTCACCTTGTTTAGCCCCAAATATTCCCCCACCCCCCGCCATCCCCAGGCGATAAATAATGACCGGTCCCTTAACAAAACCGTGTTCTAAACCATTTTCAGTTGGAGTGGTTTGCTCAGCGCTTTCATTTAAACACCGTTTTTCGTGAACAATTTGAACAGAGCATATAGCGTAGATAGGAAGAGTACTTTTTATTTTTCTAAAATTAACCCCTTAAGAAAGAGATCTAGTGATCCAATGATTTCTTAAACCTCGGCCTTTGTTAGACTTCGTTTGAATAACCGACTCTTAATGTCCAGTGGATAGCTCGTGGATAGCGTTATCTTGCCTCTCGTCCCTGGGCGTCATTACTGCGCCTGACCGCTCCGTTTCGGGTCACGTGATCCGAGCGAGTTTTCGTCTCGGAAACGTCCCCGAAATGCATTGACCGAGAAGGCCTGGGAAGACGCCGTACAGGGACTAGGCAAAGTGTTATCCACGGAAAGAAAGTGGTGGCCAGGCGGACGGCCGTGTGTTACGTATAGCGATCCCGTAAACCGACCTATCTCTCGATTCAGACAGTTTTCAGACAGTCTTTTTGGCTCTTTAAATTGGACATTTCCACGAAATGCGTAGAGTTTATCCTTCCAATACCAATGGATAAGCGTTAATTTTTTTTGCTGTCCAATAGTAACCTTAAATTAATGGTGAAAGGAGTTTAGCACTGCCCCGCCCTTTATCCTAAGATCTTCAGATTTGTACAATCAACAGACATGTGTCAATAAAGAAAGCAAAGAAAAAGAAAAGAGAAAGATTTCTAAAGCGCGTTTTATTTGTGTTTCAGCATGGCCTTTCTTCAACTGACGATCTCGTTTATCACAACAACACAATCGGCGGTTTCTACAGATATATTCTACAGGGCCTTGGCTACCTCACGGGTTGTGGCACTAATGATTCAATATTTACAGGAGATGTGAGCAAACAAGTCACTCACAAGGGATGGACAGTGAGCGGCCATAGCATGAAGGTGACTGATTACCTCTCAGCTGTAGATGCTATCGAAGCTATCGTTGATCAAGGTGAAGGAAGTTCTCCATGCAATCCCGACGCCATTTCAGAAGTAGGAAATAAGGAGCTCTCACATTACTACACATTCTTGTCTGTTTCTCATGGACGTGAGATAGAAGTCTATCCCAATCCGTACAGAGAAGAGGTAACACTATTGTCTAGAGAGTTTTAGAGACTAATGTGCGTTTACCGTTTTTCTTCAAATAAGCGCCCTCCCCGAGTAATTTAAGCGCCCACTTACAGGTGACGGTGGTACTGTCGCAAATTTCTAAAAATCATCGCACTTTGTAATACCTGTCGCACTTTGTAGTAAAAAAGCTGTCGCAATTTGTAATAACTGTTGCGGCACTTTGTAATAAACTAAGCTTTCACAATTTGTAATAATTTCATCGCACTTTTTAATAATTTTTTGAGAGTGATTCAACTTACTTCGTCAACATAAATATAATGCCAAAATATGAATGGTACTTCGTAAACAGAGATGATGACGTTTGCAAGCACGTAACTTACAAAATAACTTTTATAATTTATATCTCCCCTCATTCAAACCATTAGACTACGAGTAGTCCCCTATTTTTTGCTCAGAGATGATAGAGCGTGCGAAACGCGAGCGCGCGTGAAAACCACCCCCCGCGAGAAAAGGCGACACGCGCACTCGCGTTTCGCACGCTCTACTATCGCTGAGGAAAAATGGTTGACTACTCGTAGTCTATCAAACCACTGACTTTATTCACGGTCCTAAACACTTTTTTAAAATTAATGTTGATTAGTTATCTGACGTATACGAGATTCTATATTCCTTGTTATTGTATTAGATGGTTTGCATGCAATGGTTACCTGGGAGGGGGCGTACTCCCTTATATGGCCAATACGGGGATGTGCCGCAGGCCAGAGCGTTGTCAGAGTACAGAAGCAAGACACAAAAGAGCCATTAATAAAAGGCATTTTATTTCCACAAATCGTAACATCCATCCTTACATCATTCAAATAAGGACACCTGGAAAGCTTTCCTTTTTAGATCTTATAACAAACAGGTCGACAAAACACCGTACTTGTCTAACGCGCAATCTTAAAAGAAGTAATAGTGGCTTCCATATTTTGGCCAGCGTAATCAGACCAGGCCTGTAAAAATTCAAAATGTAATTTACTACAAATAAACAAAAACGTCACCAGTGGCAAACCGTCGAACCACAACAGAAACATAAACACAAAATCCAGGTAGTCTCTGGCCAATACCCTTGTATGTACCCGTTTTTATAAAACTCACTTGGGGTAATAGACTGAGCCGGGCTGACCTTGTGATCCATTATTCTCTCTTGATTTGGTACCATATAGGAACAAAAGGAGTATCATTCAATCTTAAAACAATTTTTCTGTATGGAGCCCTCTAAAGCAAACACCGTGGGGATAGTAAAAATGTCTCCTTCCCAGTGTACAACTCGTAAGACCTTGCAATTCTTCCAAGCGTGTTCAGGATTTTTTTCCCGCAAAATGGAAAGGATAATAAACCAAACCATCCATTACTACCCTATCTAAGGATCAAACCAAAGACACAAAGCCAGCAAGGTAAAAAATGATACCCTATTTAAGGTTCGAGATCCTCAGCGATACTTACCTACCTAGCCCATACATGTATATGGAATTATCCCCCACCCCCCACTCCGAAGACTTCACGTGTCACGTGGCAAGCAAACATGGATTGGGACGACGAATGCCAGGTTATTCATAAATTTTCTGATGTTAAATGTTGCTTTGTTATTTAAATATTTTTGAATTCAAATATATGAGATGATTTATTTCTCTTTTTTTGGTGACATGTCACAGGAAGTTTCATGTCTTTCATAAAAGTGATTCTCGTTGGTCATGTGATTAATTAAGGCAGAAAAATATGGAATTATTACAAATTGCGACAGCGTTTTTATTAACAAGTTCGACACGGTTTAATACAAGTTACGAGAGGTATTACAAAGTGCGATGATTATTACAAACTGCGACAGTACCCCTAAGTCAAAATATCCAACTTGGTCCCCCCATCCCGGGGGGGACTCGCATATGAAAGGGGCGGGGATGTTCGTCGTCTTGCTTAGGGGTGTAAATTTCGGATTTTGGTCTCACTGAGGGTGTTCTGGGCAAAACGCCATTATATTTAGCAGTAAAGGTCTCTTTTAGGGTTGCATGCGAAGAAATGTAAAAAAAATGAATATCTTCAATTCGTTTTATTTACTCGATTCATGTTGTCAAAGTTTAAAATGGTCTCTTTTAGGGGTCAAAAATAGGTTGGGCCAAGTCCAAATTGAACTCCGACGAGTATCCCGCGCCTTTCATATGGAATTCCCCCCGAGTCCCCCTCAAAGAAGAGTCCCCCACTTACCCAGCCACACCCCCACCCCCTGAAATACCAGGAGAACCTGTTTCTATCGCCACTTTACTCATATGTTTTTACGCTTCAACTACCGATACATCTGTGTGTAAAGACAAGCTCGTTCCCAGGGTTCTCCTACCCGTTGTGTAAAGAGTGCTCAAACTACCTTCTACTCCTACTTGATAGGAATTCAATTGCACGTATCGCTTCACCGGTCCCAAGATTCCTTTTGATCCCGATGCCGTTTGGCCGATGGTTACCAACCCAAACTTGTCCATGTATGTAAACAATACTCAAGCGTTCACCGCTGCGGTAAAGTTCAACATAAATTATACAAGACTGTTGACATCTCTGGACAACGTGTTCAATGGTCATGCTGATCAGATTCAAGCTGCAATTGGCCTGATGTTCCCACTATTTAACGAACTACAGGAACTGGTTCAAATACCTATTGACATCCATGGAGACCAGTACGTGGGTCCAAACGTTGGTCCGACCTATGATTTTACACCACATGATTGAACTTCCTGACTTCCTGACTGATCGGGCCCCTGACTTCCTCTGAAATTATTAACACGCGTTTTAATGTGCTCGCTGAGCTGAAGCAAATAGAGAGTTTTAGCATGACGGCAGCGCAAACTTCACTTGTAAAAAAACCCAATTCTCGTTTTTTTAAAACCTTTCTAGCGTTTATTTTAATTCGATGAAAATGTCTAATGTAAAGGGAAATTTTCCCTGGAGTTGATTTCTTGGGGACTGCACTCGTTTAGAAAGAGAAAGACACTTTCGCCACCGTTTTTTAAACGGTCCTCTATAAAACGTGAAATTAAGGAATTGCACGTCGTAGTCGTGTAGTGACGGCTAAGAAATGAACAAAAATGCGTGATGCTTTTGAACGAAACCCTCCAAATATCAGCATTATGCCTAAAATTGTGCTCAAAAAGTAGCATTATGCTCGACTGATCTTGGCTATATTTGATGCCCTTTCCCATGGCTGCAGAAAAAAAATATCTCCATAAACCAGAAACACAATATTTTATTGCATCAATTACAAATTAACAAAAAATAAACAACAAATAATGATGCAAAGGCGGGAGGGCAACCAGGCCTTGAAACAAATTTTCAAACAAGCCTGTGAATAAGTTAATTTCTTACTGAAGTGAACAATTTTCGTTACATTTATGGAAATATTAATTTTCTCAATATCATCATTTCTTTATGCATTAATTATGCCGGCATTATGCTCGATGTTCCAACTTTACCATTATGCCCATTATACTAAAACCTGACAAATTTCTGCAATTTGATTGGCTTACTGGAGCAGTGGTTTTTTTAGCTTACTTCTGAAATACCTACATGTGAAAATTACAAACTGCGGGTAGTAATACAAACAAATAATAACATGATTTGTACGTGGTATTTGGAATAAATACCACCCATGATATTTCAAAATTGTCTCAAATTTCACTAGCCGAAATTAAGTATAACAATTTCGAAATATCACTCGTAGTATTCATGCCAAACATCACTAGAAATCACGCTTTTACCTACACAAATTATACCGGCAAAATGAATCCAACTCTAACCTGCAAAGTTGTTGTTTTGCTTAAAAAACCTAGCTATGGCTTTTTAAAGGTCCTCGTTGCCGTCGCCGATAACGTTGTTATTGCTAAAACTCCTTTTTGACGTACCTTAGACGTACAGTATTGCTCGTATACTTAAGTTCATGGTCTTTGTATGCACGCAATTTATTTCCTCGTGTAAATGGCTTTATGGATTACTAAAATTTACTGCATAAAAGTTTTATTTCTTTAAATTGACGTTACGATTTGACCTGATTTATTGCAAGTTACTAGGAATATGATAGGTTAGATTATTCTGGTGCTCAATCAGATTCGAGCATTTTTTTTCAGTTATTAACTCAAAGCGTTAACACTTACCAATAATTAGAGGAGCATTTCCCGTCCTATATGGGACACCCTTCATAAAGTATAAGTGAGCAACATGAATTAAATTCAATATAGCTTCGATGAACAATTGTTAAATTTTGACGTTTTTGCCTACCATTAAGTCTATTAGTTCCTTCTCTCTCGAGCTGGCACTGAAAGAAGAAAAGAAAACGCGTTTTAGGAAATTAAAATTGATGTAAATCCTATAACGTACGAATAACAGTTGGAGATTATTAAATGGTGTTTACATGAAGAAGAAAATTAATATTTAAAATGCATAATTATGTTGTCTACGACCACTGGCAGGTTTTCGAGCTTTAGTTTGGAAGAACTGGAGCCCTATAGAGCGTATGCACTCACGTGGCATGCATCTATGCTAATTTATACGAACAAAAGAAAGTGTTAACATATGAAAAGAGTTCAATTCCCACACGGTTGTCTTGGTACACCAAGATGGCGGCCGTTTTATTGTTTTGGAACACCAATATGGCCTCCGTGACGTCATGTGCATACGCTCATTTAAAATAAAACGAACTTTCTACTGAAAAAACTCCGCAGGCCACCACTTTCAGCTCACTGGTAAAACTGATCAATTGCGTTAATCAATGTTGGAGCTATCGAATTCATGTTCAGCTCAAACTCACAGGGGTAGGAACACCCACGTAAGAAAAATAAAATGATACGCTTTACCCCGAAAGAGGAACAATCTGGGCGTGGCATGGCACTGGCTTAATTTGATCCCCAGCTCATGGGGAAACGATATTATAGCCTTGCCTTTAATTTTAAGTATCATTCTGTATTTCCGATCCTGATCTACACTAAAACCCGGTTTTCCCTAGCGCGCTGCTGTTTGTCAAAAAAAAGGGTTGCTTTGCTATCATTTGTTCTTACTGACCAATAAAAAAAGTCGTATTAGTTTATTCATCGTTATTAGAGGGGACTGGTTATGAAAGGCTGGTTATGAAATACCACGGTTCTGCAGTTTATGTTGGAAACTTGCTGAAGGTGCACAATCCTTTGTTTTCTTTTGGCAAATTGTGATGGAATAAATTAATGAAATGTTAATATTGGTCAATACGATCACATTGCTAGGGATGCTGTTGAACGTTGTGTACCTTCAGGTCCACAGAAACATATAGCAAAGGAGACTGGCGGCCTTCATAACCATTCCACTCCATTAACTATTGGTTTATTCCATCACAATTATTCCGTGAACAATAAAGGAAGGATTGTGCACCATCCGGGAACTCCCTACATAAACTAGAGTTGTTATATATCTTGATTTTTGTAGTCCTGTACTAAATGTAGCTTGGGCGGAAGCTAAAATAAGCAAACAGGGGTGTTCGTATCAACAAGGATTAACATACTAAGTATGTCAATCCATATTGATTTGTAATCGTGAATGAGGTGTAACAATTTGTCAAATTCAAACAACCCTTTGTGTGAAAACCAACAAAACAATAGACCTTGTCACGGTTTTAGACGCCATCTTGACGAGTAGGCAAACGTGTGAGAAATTACAGTGTTATGTATGAGAATCTAATGTCGAATAATTTTCGTAAAACGGCTGCTTTGAAAAAAATTTGAATTGTAAACTAAAGCTTCACTCTTAAGAATTCTACTGAAAAAAAATCTGAAGGCGTTACATGCGCTAGAAGTCGTGTCTAGAAGTGCGCGGTCTCTGACTCTCGTTCCTCGTTCTTTAACTCTAAACCACACGGAAACGCTTGCTACGCAGGCTAGACTAATAGCGTCTGTCTTTTTCCTTTAATGGCTTATACTTCACGGGGAGGCTCCACGCGAAAATGGTAGCTTTTTAAGGATTAAGGTATATAAAAAGGATACTACATCGCCTGGAACCCGACAGAGGTATAAAACATAGTTACAGGACGGGTAACCGCACTATAATTTTAAACTGCTGGAATAACACACAAACTGCGGTTACAAACATCAGAATCATGATTGTTAGCCACCTGAATATCTGAGAGACATATTTAGGTTAAGAGACAACATCAAAAGCTTGAGAGGGGTTAACAAGCTGCAAGTACCGAAACTGCTGATACGACTCGTTATGGCAAGAACTCAGTAAAGTACTTGGCGGCTATTACTTGGAACAAGATTGCTGATACCTTAAGATCCCTAAGTACATTGTCAGCTTTTAAAAAAGCAGTCCACCAGCTGAGGTTCTATTGTAGCTAATTCTCAATAACATCTATATTCTATTATGTAATTAGGCTTTTTATTGTAAATAGAATCTCAAGTAATTTTAGGCTTTATACTGTATATAAGTTTTTGGATTCCCCTTTCTATGTGAAGCCACCTGTCGTAAGCGACTATTTAGCTCCCATAAGCGACCGTCGACTATCCAAAACACCAAAATCTTCCCAGTCAAATCACTACACCGTTGACTACAGTTGGAAACTGTCGCCCGACGAAGACCTCTTCGTTAGCGACCGCGACTACTTTTTGGGGTTAGGGTTTTACGGAATTTTCCATTGTTTTTAGCCTCTTGTAGACGACCATTTGACGCATAGCTTTCTCCATGTTCAACTCTCAGAGTATGCGAAGATCTTTTGAAATCGCCGAATTAAATTGCAGAAAACGCCTTCACGGCACCCTTCTACCTCCTTTAGCACTTGAATGTAGTAATTTTAGCCAAAACTGTGATTTCTCCAATTTTTAGCAATTTTTGCTACTGCGTGCGGACTTGGACATATCTCTCACTTTTAAGTTTCACCTAGTGAAGTGCATATTGTGCAGTTTTTTCCTGCATCGGCAGAGTTTTCTTTCTTCATTTGTTTGTGCTACACAATGTAAGTTTCAGTCCGTGTTTTAGCTTCATTTTCGGTTTATTTTGTCGCTTTGTAGCAGTTTTACATTTCGTAAGTTTACTTTCTATTTCATCGATATCCAATCTTGTCGTTGCACTTGAATGCTGTCACATACCGTAAAGAAAAGTCGCCTTCGGCAGTTACAGGCCTTTCACGGTTTATGACGCCGTCTTGGCTGGGGGGAAAACAATCGGCTAAAATTACAGTGAGTGTATGGGATTTTAACCCACTTGGAACCGCTATGACGCCGCTACAAAGGGGTGGATTTCCAACATTGCCACTACTTCACTCAACAGAAAGTAAGGCTATTAAAGAAGGTACGACGTCCGTAAATGCGAATTATAAATCTTCTCATGTGGCTTCTAATTTCATGGTAATTTGCATAATGTTGATTAGAAGGGTTTGTATGCATCTTATGTATGTATCTTAAAAGTTCGTTTACGGTCATTATAACCTGAATCTCTTCTTTATACTTCATGAAAATAATCTCAGTATAAATGTCTTTTATAACATAGCTAGAAAATTCGCCTAATCAAATTCAATAGCGCGAGCGTGCTTCATATTCCTATTGAGCACGCTGATGACGTTAATAAACTATTCGTAATCCCTCGAGTTCTTGTGAACGTAGAAATCCTGAGTCTCCTGGGTGCATCCATAACTCAACAGTACACGATGAAGCGTTTACCATGTGTTTTATAAGGAAATTTAAGAGGAAACGTTGGAATTTGTTAACCGATAGTAAGGAAACTGAGATGAGTTGTTGATGTTACTGTCATCTCCGCGAGCTGTTCGGCTACGGCGTGAGATCATCATGATCATTCTTTGCAAAGTTGTTTTCTCTCAATAACAATTTTTCGGTAAACTAATAGTTTTCGGGCACCTAAAGATGGATTTTACAATCATTTTAGAGTACACTTTCTCTCAGTTTCAGGATAAAAACATAAGCTTAACATAACATAAGCTTTGAGCGCGCCCTACAATGATAAAATTTTAAGTTAACTGCTGCATTGATCGCTTTGATAATGTTATAAAACAATTAGTTCATGCATCAGCGTGCGTATGTCGAGATATTGAGCACGCGGGAAGTTTGGAGAGCACTCAAGAGGCTAGAGTTGCACTCGGAGGCGCCTCGAGCCTCGTGCTCTCCAAACTTCCCGCGTGCTCAATATCTCGACATACGCACGCTGATGCATGAACTAATTGTTAATTAAAATACATTTTCGCTGTGGAAATCCACCTCTTTGTAGCGGCGTTATGGCGGTTCCAAGTGGGCCAGAATTCCATACATTCACTGTAATTTTAGCCGTGTTTGCCCCCCAGCCATCAAGATGGCGTCATAAACCGTGAAAAGGTCTAACAAACAGCCCTTTGTGTGAACAACAGCAAAACAATTGACTGAACAATAACAATCAATCATTGTTGAGTTTCCTAAGCAGCTAAGCAGCAAAGACAGCAAAATATGGGTGTAACCGTTCTTTGTTTCGTCAGGAGCGTTGTATTATAAAGCAAAGAATAACTACGCAGGAGACTAAAAGACGGTCGTAGGCGGTAGAGTGTCCGGGGATCGAGACAAAAGGCGTTTTTTCTTAAGGTGGCAAGTTCAGCTTCTTGGCATCTAACAATGGAAATCGAGATAAAGTTGGTGCTATCTATCATTATAGCAGTTATTGTTAGCAGGTCTATTTTAATTTATCATAGCTATTTATCATCAGACCAAGTGATCTCCAACGAACAAGGTAAGACGATCATCAAATGTTTATCATGTTTATTCGCTATCATCACAAACAACAGAGAACGATTACCAGGAGATTCAGTCGTGATAGTGCCGAACTTAATTCCTATTTTAGCCGGCTAAAATAGTTCAATACGGCATTTGATTCAAACGTCGAATTTAACTCTGTTCGCTGCCAATATTCCCAGACTCTAAATAATACATACTAACTTACTAGAATTCAAGCATTCTCGGCACAAGTGAAATCCGACGTTTCCATCAAGAGGCGAACCTGAACCTAAGTCGAATCTTCGACTCTTTCAGTCAAAGATACGGCGAAAGTCGCATTTAATTTAAACAGTCGAATTTAACTGATTTAAACGTCGCACTTCACATGCATTTAACTCTCGCATTAAGTTCGGCGCATGTGAAATTCAACGTTTCAACCGGGCCTGAATCAAGTGGACTAACAAGTAAATGAGTTGCGATGCATTCTAAAAAAGATGTTTTTAGACCGTCATTTTTGTGCAGTTTTAAACATGCATTGTTACAATTCCTAGATTTTGTCGTCACAGGTTTTAGTTATTTTAACCGGGGTCGTGAGGTGGGGGGGAGCGGCTTCTGCCTATGATGGCCTATACTCAATTGGGGGCGGGGGGGTCCTCGCGAAAATGGTAGCTTTCAAGGATTCAGGTATAAAAAGGACACTACATCGCCTTGAACCCGGACAGGGGTATAAATCAAAGTTATAAGATGGGTAGCCGCATTATAATTGTTCGTCAAAAGCAGCTCGATCATTTCCATTGATATTAATGAAAGGGTAGGAAAATATTTCATTTGGATTTCAGTTTTTAAAAGGCCGAAAAGGGACCTTTGATTTAAATCTTTCGAACAAACACAGCTTACGGCTGTTGAAACTTTTAGTTTATTAAACTCGGAAAATAACAAAAGAGTTCCTGTTTAAGGCTACATTACAGGGGCGGATCTAGGGGAAGGGTGCAGGGGGTGCGCACCAACCCTCCCCCCCCCCTGAGATGACCTGCGGTTTTTTAATACAACTGGTATTCTGCAAAAAAAAAAAAACTATGTGGTTCATTGGTGTTGAAGTAGAGCAAGAGACGAGTGCACCCCCTCCTAAAAAAAATCCTGGATCCGCCCCCTGCATTATCGTGCATCTTAAAACTCATTCCGGGTTTTGAAAAGGGGACTCATTGTTTTAAAGTAGGTGTGTGAAAGCGGTACCTTTTTCCAATAGCGGGTATATGAAAGCGGTACCTTTCATCTGTCAAATGCCAAAAAATGCGGTAATACTGACTCCTGGCCTCAGACCATGTATGTAACAATTAGCCGTTAATAGGTTCCCCCCTCCCCCACAACGACGGGAGGTTTTAGCCGTCACAGTAAATGCTTAAGTGAAAGGGGCTCGAGGACGAATCAGCAGCTTGCGGTCACAGAGCTTACTGCTGACTTTTAGATGTCTTACGGTCGCCATGGCATATGTTTGGTATTCCCTTCGCTGTGGCCAGAATTTGATTGCCCGTAGCGCGCCTTTGACTGTCGAGAAGGTTCAGAATCTGGAGGCCTTACAGAACGATCTAAATGTACATTGTATATAGTTCACAAAGCCCTTGGTCACATATTGCTGAAGATTGAAATGCAATGAATATTTTTATGTAAAAGTTCATGAAGAAAAAAAAGAAGCCTTCAATCGAAAACGGAAAAGAGAAAAAAAAAACCTCAGTTACACTTTAACTTGGTGATAATATATGCCTCTTTATATGGCCTTTTTATATTAAGTTCATTAGCTCTGTCTATTTAGCGTCAACCTTCATTAAATATAGTTTTTGTCTTATCTTATCTCATATGGAAGTAAGGAATCGAAAAGGCAGAGCAGTTTGTTTGCGTGGCGTTAATATGGAATGTTACAATGCTGATCAACAATGTGACGCTGCATGAATTTTCCCTTTCAGTGTTAGATAATACTGCTCCTAACGACCCCTATGCAAGCTACCTTTTGTGGCCGCACTTCAGTTTCGTTGGAACATTCCGAGCCGATTTCTCAACTGTAGACGATATTGTCTCCAACTATAATCCAAATAAGACAAGGAAAAACCCGTCCAAGAACCCAAAGGGCAGTGACGAAGGGAGTGTGAATGCCTTGGTTACCCAGATGTGCTTTGCTAATGGCACCTGCTCGGCGCCAGACGTTGAAGAGATACCGGTAACAGGTACAAATAACGATTTTTTTTTATTATATAATGGTTCTAGTCCGATACACTAAAGCTAATATCTTTTTTCCGTTTGTCAAGTTTGATTGGTTACGCGTCGCGGATCTAGCAAGTTCTTCTGAAATCTCAGAAGCATATAACTCAGTATAAAATTTGCCCTAAAAGTGGGAAAGTGGTAAGTTAAACGCTGATAATTGCAAATAAAACTCCGACGTTTCGGCAATGCTGCCTTCATCAGGGAAGGCAGCATTGATGAAGGCAGCATTGCCGAAACGTCGGAGTTTTATTTGCAATTATCAGCGTTTAACTTACCTTCCACTTTTAACACATAACAAACGCTACCGGAACCCCTTTTATTTGAATAAAATTTGCTCTGTCGTTTCTCAGACGTCATTTCGCGGGGAAACCAGTGGTGGCGCTGCAAAAAGTCGGTTGTTTCCTCAGGCTATATACGCCGGGCTCCTCCAAACGTTTTAATTAAAAAAAAAAAAAGCAAATAGCGTAAAAGCGTTTTGGTTTTTTTTTTCCCGGCAGCGACGTCATCACCGATAAACAAAGTAGGGGGAATAAAAAAATAACCGCACTTTAATTGTTTTATTATTCTGATTATTTCTTGACATCATATCTTTCAGATACTGGGACCAAAACGTTTGCAAAGATTGTGAATTTGGACCCCCAAGCGGCGTTTTCGGAAATTTGGGGTTGGAAAATTCGAGTGGGACATTCTTTCTCTGGCTATTTTAATCCAGTTCCTTTCAAGTATCTGTATGGAAGGCGTGGCCGCAGAGCTGTCTATCAGTCTGAATTACTAGATGTGGAGTGGAACGAGTCTCCTTCCTCATCAGATTTCTTCAAACAGCTAAAAGAAGCAATGGGAAATGACAACATAAATTCTCATCAACTTTCAATGCGCTTTAATGTGGATGTGTATGTGGGGTACTCGGAGCAATCGAACTTTACAACAGGAAGGATCTCAGGTCTGATTTTGAATAATAGCTACAATCAATATTTATGTTTGATGCTGACATTCTTGTTATATGCTTATTATGTTTTGCTTTGTTTCGGACTTATATATCAAAAAAGAAAACTAATCGTCATCAAAAGGCAAAAAATATCATTTTTAGGTCTGTAGCAGTCTGGGTCTGTAGGTTTTGCTGGCTGAATTGTTGAATTTAAAAGATGTTCAAAATTGGCCCCAAAATCGTTTTAAAAATAGACTGGTCCGCAAAATCGCCGTGACACGAACGCATAGAAGTTGCTCGCTCTGGGTTATGGGCTCCCGTCCAATGCTACAACTAACCCTCGGACATACACGCACAGTCCTACCCCCACCGTGGTTAGGGGGGAAGGGGGGTTTAGGACCCCCCCTCTTGAGGTTTTAGTAATTTGCAGTATTTCGAAAAGTTTTTGCCTTCAGTAGAGAGCCTTTGATCCTCTCTACCCGAGATGAGGTTACGACACATGGTCGCCATCTTGGCCGCTATCTTTATCACCAATTTGAAACTACGTAAAAACGGCCAGAATTAAGTAGTAATTATTTATGCTTGAAATGTAAAACAACACATAAATAAGTACTTTGCTTCGATTGATCCATAAGCTTTACTTTAATTGTTGAAAGAAGTTGAAAAACATGCAATTTCACTCAAAAATGAATTGACCATCTGCTACTTATGGCATCATAGCCTGCGTAGCAAGCGTTTCAAATCGAGTTATTGCGCGAAAGTTAGAACGGGAGCAAAAAAAAAAAAAAGATGGAAGGGAGAGGGGGAAGGGAGAAGAGGAAACGCTTGCCTGCACACCCCATGATTTTGAAAAACGCCCCTTGATATTTCATAATTCGGTTCATTTGTAAATTGACAGCTCGTCAAAATAGAAGTATAACGAACAGATTACCCCTGGATTACCACATTTGTAAAATTACTTTGTTCTTTAATAGAACTCATTCCAGGCGATTCCAAAAACTGTAATAGAAAAGGTTTACGATAAAAGGAGGTTGAAACTCTGAGCGATTGCTACGGAATTTCTTGTCAGTTTTTATTGTGTGGCTTTATCTCGTCTGAACCCTTGTCAAAACGTCAAAAATGATTTGTCCGGAACAATTCACTCCACCGGCTGTAAGTTTTGCAGAGCGGCTGCTCTTCAGCCCGTGTCGAAATTGTTCTCTACAATACATCCCGCTAAACTTCCAATAAACAAAAAGAATCTTTTCATTTCAAAAAGCTGACAAATGGTTTGTCCATGGCTTTAGCTAAGTGTCGAGTACCGATATTCTGATTTACGTTGACGTTATCTCCAACAAACAGTCCATTTTTTCCAGTCAGATCCGCACGCCGTCATTCCCAATAAATTGGATTTGACTAGTCTCCACTGCTCGATCTCCAATAGCTCTGATCGCATAAACCTTTGCACAAACACGATTCAAAGAAATATCAGTCCATCTGCGACCAAAAATCAGATGAGACCAGATCTGTAACGCAAGTAAACAAAGTATACCTGGTTTGATTGATGTTTCGAGTGCTAAGTAATCAACACTACCAGCACCGCACCAATCAGAAGCTGCGTTCGTGGGCGAACGCAGTTTTTCAAATTCGTGGGGTTTGCGGGCAAGCGTTTCCTTCTTTCCCTCCCCCTCCCCTGTCATTCCTTTTTTTTGCTCTCGTCTCAAGTTTCTTGACGAACTCGCGCGGAAACGCTTGCTACGCAGGCTAATGGCATCATATCTCGTTACCACAGTAACTGATCATCACTACACTTGTGTCAAAATGAGTGCGAAGGATAAACGAACAGTTACTGAAAATGTTAGGTGCTAATGTTTGTTCGTCTAGGAAACAACTCAGAAAAACCTGAGAGGCGGGTGTCATCTATCATCTGAACTGTAGGAAACTTACTAGAGACTGTTGAATTGACTTTAAACAATACTAAACCCTTTGTTGTTCGTTTTTTGCTTCATTTTTCAGGAACAATTGGTCTGTTAGGCAAGAAATCTCCGCCATTCTTTATTTTAGGCCGCTCAATGAAGTCGCAGATAGATAATCTCCAGGAAACGTTTTTCTACGTGGACCAACAGAATAAAAAAGTTTTTATTGACTTTGGAAACAGTTTACCAGTTAACAGCGACGGATCTATGAGTACCAGTCATTATGGCGATCTCTACGTGGCTTTACCTAAAGGAGAACACCCAAAGCTGGATTGTTCTGATGAACTAATGTGGATTGGCAGTGTTGATTACAAGTTGCCACAATGGTACCGAAACACAAGTGGGATCCAGACTTTTCCGGTCAAGGGTTCATCGTCTATTGTTTAGCTTCCTTAAGCTATAGAAAATTCTAGGCAATTTTTGCTTTTCCGAACAGATATTTTACAGAAAACAATCGTTCGGTGCCCCTGTTTCATTTTCGCCGCTGTAAGCTGATTTAGCAACTGCTCTCATCTGTGGAAACTAAACTACGCGCAGCAAATTGCGTTCACTGATAAGTAATATGTGTTTTTGTTTTCCATCTTGGCATAGTAAAGGACACTGGTTCATTTATTTTGGCTTAATTCTTGTTAGCTGGCACTGATGAGATCTGAAAAAAGGTATTTTTGAATTTCAGATTTCAAGTTTACTCAGCTGGTAAATATGCTGCAATCGCGTGATCCGGTGGGTGACCTGACTGGATTGCCAGTGGCCAATCAGGGGAAATCAGCACAGGTATAACTTTTAGTTTATATTTCCAGTGCTCAAAGCTAAGAACCGTTTCTTCTTGAAGAAATTCATCAGGCTAGTAAAGTTAATAAGTCGATTTAAATGTTCTTAAAACATAGCCAGTCTTAACGTCTTAATGATGCTGACAGTTTCGATGACTGTCAGCCATTTTTATCAACACTTGAAAAACATTAAAAGTGTCAGAAGCCTTAAATAGGCTTCTGAAGGTGTTAATTATTGCGATAAACGCGCAAAGTTACTCTGTAGACGCCCCCTCTCCCCCTGGTTTGGGGGTGGAGATCACTTGTGTCCATATGGGAGAAAGCTGATAGGCTCCCTCGGTCACTGAAAAAAAACGGCCCTTCGGTCACTGAAACAGGACGATTCCATCATGATACTGCCAGCAGACAAGGGAAGAGCCACAGTAGTCATGGATAAGACCGAGTATGAGGAAAAAGTCAACACCATGTTGAATGACGTTCACACTTATGAGAAATTGCAGGCCGATCCAACCAGTTCTTATAAGAGAAAGCTGATCGAAAAACTGACCAAGTTAAAAAAGGATGGCAAGATAACGGAAGATCAGTACAAATACTTGTACCCTACATCTGAGGCCACACCCCGATTGTACTGCGCACCAAAAATCCACAAGGCTAACAACCCTCTGGGACCTATTGTGGATTACACAGGATCGACTGGTTACAATACATCTAGAGCCCTAGCTGACCTCCTGGGACCTCTGGTCGGCACTACGGAACATTATGTCAAAAATTCCAAAGAGCTTGCTGAAGAATTATCCTCAGTCACATTAGAACAAGAAGACATCTTCAACTCCCACGATGTTGTGTCACTATTTACCAAGACCCCTATACAGGAGACATTAACCATCATAAGAGAACGCCTAGATAAAGATCAAGATCTAAAGAACAGAATAAACCTAGAGGTTGATGATATAATGGATCTCACAGAATTTATTGCCACCACCACATACTTCAGTTTCAGGGGACAATTATTCAAACAGAAGTTCGGCACAGCCGTGGGCAGCCCAGTATCCCCGATCCTGGCTAACTTCTTTACGGAATGGCTAGAACAACAGGCCATCGCCACTGCTCCCATAGACTGTAAACCTAAGCTACGGAAACGATATGTGGATATCCTAGAAATCATTAAGAGGGGAAAGGTGGAGGCTCTGATAGATCATCTCAACGAAATAGACTAAACAAACAGCATCAAATTCACGCACGAACCAGAGAAAAATGGCCAGATCCCGTTTCTGGACACCCTTATCACCAGGAGGGAGGACGGATCCATCAAACTACTGGTTTACAGGAAAGCCACACATACAGACCAGTACCTGTCGTTTCAATCGCATCATCCACTTCAGCACAAACTTGCTGTCATACGGACGTTATTGGAAAGGAGTGACAGCATTGTCACGGAAGAAGAAGACCGTAAACAAGAGGAAGAACACATAAGAACAGCCCTTCATACATGTGGTTACCCGGATTGGGCGATAAAGAAGGTCAAAGAGCAAATGAACAGGAAGAAAGCTATTAGAAAAGATAAATCCAAGAAAGATAAAGCACAAGAAAAATCAAGAGGAGTGGTGACTGTCCCATATGTCCACTCATTCACGGAGAAAATACAACGTATATTCACCAAACACAGGGTAGCCACAGTGGTTAAACCTCAAACCACCTTCAGACAGGTTTTAGTTCACCCTAAGGACAAAGTTAAGAAGCAAAAAAAAAAAGGCTGGAGTGGTGTACAATATTCCATGCAGCCAATGCGAAAAGGTATATATCGGTGAAACAGGGAGACAGCTGGGAACCAGAAAAACAGAGCACAGAAAGGAAGCAGAAAAGATCTCTGTCAGAAATTTCATAAGATCCACCCGCAGAGCTTCTACCAATGAACACCATAAATCAGCCATAACAGACCACGTCTGTCAGAAAAATCATAGTATGAATTGGGAAGCAAGTGAAATAGTTGAGCAGGAAAGCGACAAGTTTAAACGATGGATCAAGGAAAGCATATGTATTAGATCGAACACTCCTACTATGAACAGGGACGAGGGAGCCTATCAGCTTTCTCCAATATGGACACAAGTGATCTCCACCCCCAAACCAGGGGGGGGGAGGGGGAGGGGGCGTCTTCAGAGTGACTTTGCGCGTTTATCGCAATAATTAACACCTTCAGAAGCCTATTTAAGGCTTCTGACACTTTTAATGTTTTTCAAGTTTTGATAAAGATGGCTGACAGTCATAGAAACTGTCAGCATCATTAAGACGTTAAGACTGGCTATGTTTTAAGAACATTTAAATCGACTTAAGAACCGTTTTAGGCAAATGAAACGTTAGCACCGGTATGTTATAATCAAGTGAAGGTGGTTTTTAAAGTGTGCTTGTAAGCGTATATGGATGTTCCAGGTTAGTTTATGAGAATTTTTTTATTCAAAAATAAAAATATTTTCTCTTTGATTTGTTCTAATTGGCCCCGGCCAATCCTTCATACCGTCGCATGCAATGTGTTCTTCCTGACACTTATCCTAATCTACATCCTGATAAAAAAAAAGTAAAACAGTAACTATCTAACATACTTCAGTCATGGTCACTGACGCCTTCCTAGTCTACCGGTGGAAGAAAACGCGCGTCCATCAGATATTGGCAGATATCTGCTGATTCTGAATGTTGTTATTGTCGTTGTGTTGCTGCTGGTTACACTTCAAAGATTAAATATAAGTGCTTGCATTTTTTCAGGGTGGTATATTTCCAGGCGAAAACGTAACGTAAAAGTAATTAAAAGCGAGAACACCATCGGCCGTTTCTACAATCACATCTTAAACGCTCTTGGTTACCTCACGCATTGTGGCAACGACAGTTCAATTTTCACAGGAGACCCAAGAAAACAAGTCAATTTTGATGGGTGGTCGGTGCAGGGTAAGACAATAGAGGTAACTGACTATCTATCATCCATTGCTGCCATCCAAGCCATTGTTGAGCAAGGTGAAGGAAGCTCTCCTTGTAACCCTGATAGCTGGTTTTCAGGAAAAGAGCAACTGTCACATTACTATTTGTTCTACTCCATTGCTGAGAAACGGGAGATTGAAGTGTTTCACACAAACAGAACTGGAAGCAATGAAGTATGTCTTTGACTACGTACATTTTTATGGAACAGCTATTAATAGCAGATGCCCTGATGTGATTGCTAATTTGTTTCTCGATGACGCCACTTTTGATAATGAATGAAGATCCATGATAGCTAGACGTTAAAACGTTAAAAGAAACATATGAAAGTGAGGCAAATGATAAGAAATGTTATTTTGCAATACCTTTCATTGCGCGCAAATTAGCTGTTTGATCAACAGGCTCGCAAATAAAGCCAATCTTGGAACAAGAAATGTCAAAGATGGAAACCTAAAGAGTTCTAAACCTGGATACATTTTTACCCCCCATTCCGCATTACTAACCCACCACACTGACCCTCAAAAAGCATACCTTTAGCTGGTCACGTCACATTAGTGTCGTGGTCTGAAAAAAGCGTTGAATGAAACAGCAGTCGCTTTGATAACTGTGATGACGAAAGACGTACATTCATGCTGTCAGAGAGCCCATTATGAGCATGAAAATTGAAAGCATTGGTTTGAACTTTGGAAAAATTTGGGTCTAAGTTTTAAACTGTAGTATAGAAAAGCTGAAATGCTGAAGAATTGGCAGATATATGAACTATGTGTGATCGACGCTCTTCTCCATGATATCACTCCGAGTCTGTAAGAAAATAGCAAAATGAGAGAGTTTTCTTTGAATCACTTCAATCAGTTTTGTTGTTATTCTAGAGTTTCTCCTTTAAGACTAGTTTATAATTGGCCAGTTTCGAATGATACAATTTTGTACTTGGTTCCGAGGAGTGGTTAGGTACAAATTTGAGGACATAATAAAAAAGATTCATAATTTTTTTTTCTCAGCCTCGACGCCAAATATGAATTTTGATACTTTGAAAAAGGCCTAAACATCTCAAGTTTTTTTCTCCAAATTTTATGTCAGTGCCTCTTTTACTTTCTGTAAATCTTTCTTAATAGGACTTTAACTGCTCGTATTACTTCGCCGGTCCCAAGATTCCTTTCGATCCCAAAGGCGTTTGGCCGATGGTTGACAGTCCTCGAATGTCCCGGTATCAAGCGGGTTCTAAAGCGTACAGGCAGGCAGTAAGGTTCAACAAAGCCTATACAAGGCTGTTGAAGTCTTTGGACAAGGTATTCAACGGTCATCCTGACACCTTAAGGGATGCCATTGGCTGCATGTACTCAGTTGATCTTCACTTGAAAAAGTTGGTAAAGACACCCATCGAAGACAACGGGGACCCGCTTGTTGGGCCTAACGCTGGGCCGACCTTTGAGTTTACACCATAGGCGAGAGTTTCAGTTCTTTCGTCAATGTAGTGTCGTCTAAGATAGATAAGTTGATAATTTAGTTTTTGTTTACTTTGTTTTTTGAGAAAGCAGCCGACATTTCGCGACGACACCACTGCTTCCCCGCGAAATGATGGTAGTCTTTACAGTACATTCCTAAATAAGTTAAGAAATATTTCAGGACAAGTAAATTTTAAATTCTTCAAGTAAAAGAAAGCTTCACACACAATTGCTTAAGCCTATTTTTTCACGCAACATAATTAAGATTGATTGACATGCTTCGCCTTTCTCAAAGCTTAGAAACCGCAAGTTCGCTAAGTCGATTTTAAGGATGATTTTCAAGTCACTTGAAACTTTCTTGAATTGTTTCAACTTTCCGACTTTAAGGAGATACAAAGTAAAGTTACTTGAGATTTTACTTAGGCCTTCACACACGCATTTTTGGTAAAGTAAAACTTAGCAGCTCTTAAGTCCAGTTAAGTCTAACTTAACAGCCTAGTGTAAAGACAACCGATGTCTGACGAACGATTGCAGAAATTCCATACTGATGACGTGTCACCACCCAGATCTGGGTAGTTCTTCTGATTGGTTGAACAAAATTTTAGACCAGTCCCGCAGAAGCACTACCCAGATCTGGGTAGTGACGCGTCATCGGCGGTATGGAATATCTGCGCTTGTTCGTCAGACGGTCATTTCGCGGGCAAACCAGTGGACGTTGCGACACAGGCAACAAAGATGGATAGAGCTGATAATTTAGTTCTTAGTCAAAAATAGCTAGATTTAAAACTTAACTACTTGTAATAACTATGCAATCAAATGCATATATTCTGTGAACTTCCTTCTATAATGGACAGTTCGTTACTGATATTCCAGTTATGTGTTTTGAAGAATTTTTCAATTAAAAGCAACTGAGTCGATTTTCAGCTCTAATTATTTTTTGTCTCCAATAGTTTGTTGCAGTTTTATTTTAGTGAAGTGTACTGTTAGTAATTAAAAGAAATTCCATCAAACGGATTTCACCAGCCCACTCATTGCCTCTTTCTTTGTAATAATAATAATAATAATAATAATAATAATAATAATAATAATAATAATAATAATAATAATAATAATAATTTATTAGTTGTATAGCCCTATTTACATGTACAGATCAATAGTGCTTTAAACTGAATACACAGAATGAACACTTTGTGAAATAACCAAAAAAATTACTCTTTACTTATTTTTTGGTAATTTAGACTGTTCACAGTCTGATATTTTTTCCTAAGATCGTCGAGACCGAGGGTTTATCGTTACGGGCGGCTATCTTGTTTTCAAAAAGTAGATTTTATATTCATGCTCAGGCTAGACTCGGTTGAAACCAAGATGGCCGCCCGTAGGGGTTGGCGCTCAATCCCGACGAATTTACAAAGAAACAAGGGCACTACGAACAGTCTATTTGTAATTAAAATACGGCATTTTAATAATCACTATATTCAATTTTACATTGTATTGAAACTTACAAAAGTCGCTGCAACTTTAACGCGGCTGGACTTATATATAAACTGTATCTAGATCAGGCCCAAATATAAAAGCATTCCATACATTCTCTCTTACTCGGTCCTCTCCCACGAACTTTATTTACCAAGCGAAACGAAAATAGACGATAAAACACTTTTTTAACGGTACGTTGTAAAACACCTGTTACTAGGATATAAATCATTAATATTATAACTTTTTTGTTTAAATGCGTACACAGGTATTCCCGTCTTTTAAGTCTTTGAAACGAAAAATATGCGTTACTCACTGTCTGATACTTAGTATTATGACCTACCATGCGATAAAGCACTTAATATCATAGGTGACGAATTACTCCTTATTTTTGGCGCGAAATTTCAGCGTTAATTTGTAATTTCACATGTGAAATTACAAAATTGCCATGGCAACCTAACGTGCGTCTCAGTGTCAAGATGGCGACGAAGTTTTAAAATGTCATGAATGAAGATGTCAGGGCAGAAAAAGAAGTTTTAGAAAACCTGAACACACGAAAGAGCACATCAAGAAGGATTCTAACAGGTATTTTGTCGAAAAACTCTGAACTTAAGCCAAATTTAAGCCCTAAACGTTCGAGAGAGTGCAGGAGTTCTCGATCGATACGATCCAGGATAAACATGTCAAAAATCCAAGATAGCTAACGTAATTCGTCACCCATGATATTAATAGGTAATCAAATGGTATACTCGTGAAATTAGGGAATAACCATTTGATTACACATACAAATACGTGCAGCTATAATACGGCTATCTAGAATGTACCAAAATGAAGCTGGTACGCAGCCTTTTATTTCTGAGTCGGTTCTTAAGGGTGTGGGGTGTAAAAAGGTGGGGGACGTTGTTCCGGATATTGAACCACATGTTGGCCCGGATGTGCAGACGGTTGAAAGGCTGGCTGTTGCCCTCCCTGTGCCTGTGGGGGCATTATGACCACACCAGGTTGGACGACTGTTTGGCCTGCTGGCACCTGTTGAAGCGGCAATTCTTGCATTCGTTGTTGACGGTACAACTTGTACAGAAGAGTAATATCCACGATGAATATTATCCAGGAGATGAAGCCCAAACCCTGTTGAAAAGCGAGATCTGGATTTAAATTGCAAAACATTAACTTCATCGGTGTAGAACCTCAACAATTTATTATTCAGATGAGTCGAACAATGTTTCATTAATTTTCCCTTGGAGTTGGTCGTATTTTTCAGTCATATTAGCTATAAAAATATCTCAGGATATCTCAAATCCCTTTTGTCGAACTTCACATTAGCTCACGCCATCTCGAACTGCAATAACGCTGATAAGTTGCTGCAAACAGGAACGTTTACTTGATACCTGTAAAGATGAGGTTTTTATGACCTCTGCTGTATTGTAAACAACTTATTTTTATATGTGAAAATCTCTTAACAGCTTATGCTTAACAGATTCTGTTCTTGGAGCCAGTAGTAATGAAATTATAAATTTGTGCAGCTATGAAAAAATCTAAAACCATCGAGGCTCGACCACCAAATAGACAACTCCGACCTTTGGTGAACATTAGGTGTAAAGTTGTATCCCGCTCATCCATCTAGCCATACGAAAAGTAATGACAAACAAGAACTATGAACTATTAAGATAATGATGATGGTAATTATAAATAATGATGATGATTATGATGACGGTGATAATGACAATGCTAATGTGGAAAAATCTTTTGATCAGGGGGCTCAAATGATGATTAGATAGGTGCTGTCAATATACTAATTTAGAGCCAAGATGGTATTAATCGCGTTTAACCGGTTACTTACCAGGCCAATAAACAGAGCAAGATAGTACTGCTTCTTCTCATCGGGATACACATATATGTAGTCCTTTGCTAAGTCCACCACAAGAGGAGCGAGGTTTCCACAGGAAGCAATCAGCAAGATGGCCAGGAAAATGTAAAACAAAAAACCCTACAGAAAGAGAGGATGCGGATCAGATTATACTATTGAATTAGCCAACCGCCGATCTCATTGGTCTATCCACAGAGTATATGCATGAATCTAAAGTTAGAGACTGATCATAGTTTTCAAAAATAGACGCATAATTGTAAATGTGGGTAATCATGACGAATAATCAGGCGCGGACCCAACCGGTTTCCATCGTTTTACAAAAATAGGTCAGATTTTTCATGAATAAATATATTTTTAATAAAAAAAAGACTTTCCAAATTGAAATCTTGCCAATATCCTGTCTGAATGACTCAGGAAACCAGGAAAGGGGACCTTTGGAAGTTAAAATCCAAAAAGTTTCCCGAAGGAGCGCGCATGCCCCCTGACCAGTCCCCCTAGAACTTCCACCTATGGCGCTTATCCGCGCCTGAATAAGACAATCACAACTGAGAATAAAGTGCGCATGTTTGAAGCAGGGAGAGGAATGAGAAGTTAACAGGAGAATTATTTTTCTCATTGGCGTTAGGGCTTCACAGCTCAACGCGGTCAAACTAAATTAATCTACAAAAGCTAAGCAAAGTACTTCAAAGTCAATGTTGCTACTTTCAGTGTTGAAAGTTTACGATTCCAGTTTACAAATACGCTGTCAATTTACTAAACTTTCTTTTCTTTCAGAAGTTCCGAGTGTTTGGAAACTGACACAGGTGTTTCCCTCGGCGCCATTTTCTGGTATTGTTTTACTTGGTCGCGAAGCGTTTTCAACGCAACGTGGCTTAATATTTTGAGAACAGTGGAAAGATAGTACGAGCAGTCTTCAAAGCCAATATTAAATAACATCACGGCTTAACTGACAGACGACCAATAACATCGCGACTTAATTGACCAATCAGGTCAAAAACCAGAGTTTAATACCATCAACTGACGTGATACACGTCACTTTGACTCGGAAGATAACTACTGCACAGGTTGTCGAAACGTCAGTCACTGTCAACAACAACAGTCCTACTCAGGACTACGTTCACCCGGACGATCATACTCAACCTACTTATGAAAGTTAAAAAGGAAAACGCCTCAGGCGTTTGACCGCGTTGGAGGTTAGGGCTGAGAAAGGAGCTGAGATTGAGGGAGGGGTAAGTAGTCATGATCACTTACCGTCAGGGTCCAAGGTGAGGAACGACTGCTGATCTTGTCAAAACTGAATATAAATACCAAAGCCAAGAGGATGACCATTACCCAGGCGAAAATAGTGATTCCTCTGAAGAATTCTTCTTTTGAAAGATCAAGAGTTGAAGATGATATACCACTGGAGGAAGCAGCTACAGCTTGTCTTATAGCATCCATGTCGAAATATTTCAAGATGCACACCCACGCTCCAAACAGTAAGGCCTTGTCAGATGTAAAACACAGCAAAGTCAATATGAGAGTACAAGTTTGGTCGAGAGTTTTTAGTGGAGATCCTTCATTAGACAAGTTCAGGGCCCATGTATAAAGGGATTATATGATTAAAATCACTTCGTTGAGAACGGGGGGAAAGCTAGATAGGGAAAGTTACCCAAGATTTCCTTAATTTTTCTTTTTGGATGAGGGAAACGGGTCTCTATTATCCGTACACATGGAAGGAGTGTCGAGTTGACTCAGTAATTTCTTGGGATATCATTATCACTGTCATTAACATTATTATTAATCATTTTGGCCTTAAACACTTAGGAAGGAGGATATTGGAGAATGGTGTATCAGAGAGATGAAGGATTTATAGTGCAATTTCTTAACTACATTTCTTGGCATTTGATAGCACAAAAAGTCACCTTCAGTGGAGGCAAATGAGAGCACAACGTTTCTTCTATCGGGAAATCTCAAGTCGCTTTTGTCTTTGCTGTTTTGTTATTTATGTTCATATTTCTTATATCTCTTGGGCATGGATCTATCTCCCTTGTATGAAGGTATTAAAACCGACTTACCAATTCTGCCAATTTGACGCAGAACACTGGCGATTTGAGGTATTCCCAGTTAATATCCCAAACTCTTCTCTGGGGGGGTCCGGCTTGCGAAGCAGGGCCGGGAAGCTCCTGCGCTCTCTGTGTCTGAAATAACCTATAATTCAGTACCATATCCACGACGAACAAAATACAGGAAATAAAGCCAAAGGCCTATAAAGCAAAAGGACAAGTAAGGATGTTAAGAAAATCTCATTGAAATTTTATTGGGAAATCTTTGGGCGATTGCCGAGAAGGATGTTTTCCTTCTTAAAAGCTCTATCTTGCCTCTGTTGAGGAAGTGGTGGTGTTACTTTCTTCGAATAAAAATTTTGGCTTTTAGCTAAATAGGAACTTAAGGAAGCGGGTTTTAAGCTTGCGATAAGTGGCCCTTCGATTCTAATAGCAGTGGTTCGATCGGCCTTCAGTACTCATCGGGTTAATGTTTTACCTGACGTTAGCGGGCGCGTTGCCAAGATTTTTCCAAAAGTATGCACCATTTGCCAAATACCCCAACCCACCCCCCCCCCCCCACCCCTTACAACTTTGCTTTTTTAGATCATTCGCTTTATATTTTTATCATACTGCAAAGATCAACTTTTTTTGCGAAGATCGACTTTTTCAGACACGCACGCGCGTATAGCCTCCTACGCAGCCGTTCTTAAGGGTTCCTCACGCGTTCCTGGGGCAGGAACGCGTGACGAACCCCTAAGAACGTCTGCGTGGGAGGCTAACGTACGTACTGTGCGTACAAGTAGCTACGCCGCTGGTTAGCGAGTTATTAGGTAGCAAAAACAAAAAATAAACAAACAAACAATTCCTACCAAAGCGATGTAAACAGCAATGACTCTTCCCTTGCTTTCATCTGTGAAAAATTTGTAAGCTTTTCCCAAATCCACAGCTCTAGGTACCAGGTTTGCGGTGCAGGCCAATAACAAGGCGAACAAGATGAAGTAATTAACCACAGACTGAAAAACAAAACGTCAAATCAGTCCACAAAAGGAGTCATGTACGCTGGCCCTCAGTTGTTCAACGAATACATCCCTTTCCACTGGTAGCGCATGCGCAATGGGCCATTATCGAGTTGCCCCAAGCCTTTGTTTCAATGCAAGGATAAGGCTATGTTCACAAAATGGCGGATAACTTTTTGTGCCGACTCAAAAAGCTTTCCGGTATAGTATGAACACCTATCCGATAGGTGACTCTCCACTTGAGATCAGCGCGGCGTGTCGCGTCTTCGCTCCGCTACAAAATCGCGCCGAAATCACCGTTCTTATGTGTGAACAGAAGCCCTATTCGATATCGGTTTCGTCCAGGCGCAAATGCTATATCCGGTAGAGTGTGAACAAAGCTTCAGTGCAAAGCATTGAAATGAAAATAGTTACTGATTTGGAATTGAAGAAAAAAAGGGTAGAAATTATAACGTCCGGCAACATTTATTATTATGCATTGTACTCATTATTTGTCTTCTCCTTGGCTAAGAGCAGCATAAATGAATCATTTGCATCGCTATAAAGGTTTTATCTGTTCGGTCGTCCTAGGAGCGGTGAAGACCTTTCCCGAATTTTCAGGGCTTGTTTTCGCCTATCCCGAGCCTACAGTGAAAGCTTCACGAAAACTTAACATTATTACCTAACGAGTTCGTTCAGTCGACCTTGATTATTCCGCATTCACAAAAACCTTACCCAGTAACTCTTTATGACTAATAGAGTTGAGCCAAATTAATGAAATAAAATAATAAAATGTTACTCAGTTTTTCGTCTTTTTCTAATACTCGTTATTTGATCAACAGTGTTATGTCTGCACAAGGTACTAAATTGCGAAGGAGGTGAATGGAAATTTGATTTGATTTAGAAGACTGGCGTCCAACTTTTACTGTCGCATAAGGCAAAGTATAAAATAGATTCCAAGGTCAAAATCAATATAGTCAAATTCTATACATCTAGCAGTTGATCAACGTACAACGTCATCATCATCAGTCGAAGAGCAGTCGACTGTAAAGCGTCTCCAACTGGCTTGGTCTTGGGTAGTGCGTAACGCACAACGTACAATAGAAGATTAAAAAACGTAAAATATCGACCTCTACAACTGAAACTATTGCTTTATTAAGAATCAAACTCGCTGTTATGTCTTTGACCCACTCACTAGTTCATGAGTGCAGACTACTCTCCCACGCACATGTCCTTTTGGCTCGTCACGCAATCCTCTCCAACGAACGTTGGGGAGTAACGCGTGAAGAAGCCCTAACTGAACGTCTGCGTGGGATGCTAGAGTGCAGACCTGTCATGACTGGAGATGGAAACTTACCGTTATAGTAAACAACGAAAGGCGCCTACAGTTGCACATCTTAGGGAAGCTTAGAGTGTAAATTATCAGATAGAGTATGACCATAATCCAGCTGAAAATCATGATCCCTTTAAAGAAGTCGGCTTTTGCGTCTTCGGCCGCGAGGATGTCCGTATACCTCAGGATACTTGCCCATGCTCCTAAAAGAGTGACCTAAGAGAGAACAACACGGCACGAAGTTTCTTAAGTAATTCCGTAATTCCGTGTAAGAACTGCTTTTGTCTTTAAGCACGAAGCGCAGAGCTCTTTCGTTTACTTTTCCTAGTTTATCGGATGCGGTTTCGCTGCAGAAATGCCACACAGTAGTCAAAATGGGGGGCAATAAAAGATTGGAAATGTTTTTCCTTATATCAAGAGCTAGAATGTGACCAAGTGATCATGAAATAAATTCGAAATAGACTAAAAGCAGCACTGTTTATCTTTCTTCGTAACACACACCAAATGAAATCAATTGCCAATTATACGAAAACATTTATAAGAGCAGTACTCACGAATTCAGCTATTTTGATGTAACAAAGAGGTGATTTGAGAAACCCAGTATCGATATTGATTTCACATCCACCTTGTGCGGCTTGCTGTTGAGGCTGCAGATACTGACCAGGGCCCCCCTGAATATAAACTGGTTGTCCTGGTTGCACAGGCTGACCAGGAGCACCCGGAACAAACCCCGTTTGTCCCGGTTGCATCATCTGCCCCTCTTGCACAGGCTGACCAACCGGGACATAGTAATACTGAATTGGCTGTCCCTGTGGCGTTGTTGCAGGTTGACCAGGAGGAACCTGGATAAAAACCAGCTGACCCGGTTGGGCAGGTTGTCCTGGCTGACCGGGCGCCATCTGGTACATAATTGGTTGAGCAGCGGTAATGGGCTGTCCAGCTGAAGCTTGTTGTTGTTGAGACAGCACTGGTTGACCAGAGGGAGGTTGGGATTGAGTTTCCTGAACGACCGGAATTAGGGCGTGTTTTTCACTTTCCATCTAGAATGTAAAAAAGAGTGGCTAATTTGTTAATCATAGTATTCACTTTCTAAACGGTGAAGATAGACAATTGTACAAATATACTGAACATAGTTCACAAATTGGTGCTTCAGTGAATCAGTGATCAAGCCCAATTGAAAGTAATCGAGCATGAGGTTCGATAACTGAACGTTCGATATTGACTACCTCTTGTTAAAGCTTATGAGAAATTACCTCTTGCCTTTTAAAAGCTTGAATAACAGTAGTATCTTTCTATTACAGTTTGTCAGACGAAAGCAATATACCGTGATTATCCGTAATGAGACAGAACGGAAAACCGTTTTGCAACTTGTATATCGCAGCTGCAAGGAGCCTCCCACGCAAATGTTCTAGTCATCACGCAATAGTGGGCGAGGAACGCTTGACGAAGCCCCAAGAACGTCTGTTAAGTCCGCTAAAGTTAAGGGAAACCCACTGAAATAAATTGTTTTTCTTTTGAATTTCTTTAGCCCGTGTGAGACTTACCATGGCTCCACCTTCAAAAGCCTTAGGAGGTAAAAAGTTGAGAAGCGGTGACTGAAAGTCAGTAAAGAGGTAATCGAGTGGAAAATACTTACTTTTTAATAACTTAGATTAGCGCGTTGTGTTCTTCCGCAATCTTTAAACTCTCGAACAGTGCAAATTTATACAATGTAAGGAATGCTGTAAACACGCTACACACGATCAATACGAAGAGTACCGTTGGTGACCTGGAAAATTCCTCAACTGGCACAAATCCTCGAACACTTACGAAGGCAAATTTTTTTTCGGTTTTCTTTTCTGTTGACTGTATAAAACAAATAGATTTCATGTTACCGTGCGTCCTTTTCAGTAATATTTCACAGAAGGCATCGGAATGTGGTAAGAACATCAATTACACACTCGCCTGTGGTTAGTGTACCACTTTTTTGTTTTAACCACACTTTGACGTCATCTGTTACCTATTACTATACAGAAGCACGGCAACACGGAATCTGTCTGTAATAAACTTAAAGAACAGTTGAACCTCGGTGTGAAACCACCCTTCGTAAGCGACTATTTAGCTCCCATAAGCGACTGTTGACTATCCAAACACCAAAATCTTCCCAGTCAAATCACTACACCGTTGACTACAGTTGGAAACTGTCGCCGGACAAACACCTCTTCGTAAGCGACCGCGACCACTTATTGGGGTTACGGTTTTACGGAATTTTCCATTGTTTTAGCCTCTTGTAGGCGACCACTTGACGCATGGCTTTCTCTCTATGCTCAACACTCAGAGTACGCGAAGATCTTTTAGTCCTGACTAGTGCAATAGATAAAAACCGACATCGGAAACCAATCGATAAATCGATAATTGTCGATAATCACTTTTTGATTGATATCGATTCAGTTTGGATCAATCGATAGAGATCGATAGCAACAACTTAGCTTGTTGTCAGCGCTAACGAATTAACAATTTTAGCGATATCATCGAGTTCGTGATCTTTTATTTCCTTCGTGCCTCAAAACCGCCAATAATGCATTGAACACTGGGCCTCGTTTAAAAAGCTTGCGAACAGCTAGCGATTGGCGTTATATCATGTGTTTTTATTTGCTCCTCCGTTTACTTTCGAATTATACTTCTTTGGCTTGTTTAGCTGATCGGTTTTATATTTAACAATTATTCTTTGAAATCGAGGTGAATAGTGGCAAAATATTTACCGAGCCGCGAAAGCGGCGAGGTAAATATTCCCAAAGCCACTATTCACCGAGATTGAGAAGAATAATTGTTTTAGTATATACACACGAAGTGATCTCAACAAAATCAGAAAGGAAACCATTCAAAAGTAGAATTTGATTGACAGATCAAATCACGCGTAAGTTTAAAAATAGATCTTTGCAGAATTTTCAAACATGGCAATTCACAAGTTTACTCATTTCGCAAACAACAGCGTAATGGCTTCAATGGAATCGCTAAAAGTTTGAACTGTTTCCTTACCTGAGAAAAAAAGTAGAGCTGTGTTGTTTTCTGTTGACTCGCCAAGTTTATAGCCAAAAGGGCATGTTGTGTCGTTCTTCGCATGAAGTGCTGACAAAAATGGCGGCTCGGTTGCTCGAGGTAAGAGGTCGTCTTCCTGTATCATTCTTTTTCCTGTTTACTTGAAATGTAGAATTTCTGCAAACATTTCCTTTTAAATTTGTTTGTCATAAATAAACTTCGATTTTTGAGCCAAAATTTTCTTCTTAGAAAACGCTGAGTTCACGAAACGGCTTCTTCTACGCGAATACACGGGAGTTGTAAACAATCCATCGAGCACAAAACTCCTGCTACAGTAAATTGAAAAACGCCGTATTGAATCCTTCAAGTCTTTTCTTGCCTTAAAAAAAGTCAGCCCTAGGATTTTGTCGACTTTTAAAAGATCGTTCTCTAAAAAAAAACGGGAAAAACACCGAGCTCACACATTATCCACTCGCTAGGAGGTGAATATTTAACAATTATTCCACGAGGGCGAGTTGGATATGAGATGATAGATAGCCAACGAGGCGCATAGCGCCGAGTTGGCTATAATCATTTCATATCCAACAAGCCCGAGTGGAATAATTGTTTTATTAAAAACGCCCACAAAATCTCGTTGAATCGCCCCGACTAGAACAAACCGGAAAAAGACAAGGGACTTCCGCTATTGACATGTCACACGTCTATCAAAACTGTCAACGCGCGAACTAACGGGCTCGCCTAGACTGCATGAATGAAAAATCAAAACATTGTGCGATGAACATTAGTTTTTTAAAAACTCATCGTGATTCTAGGATTTTACACAGCAGAACAGCGTAAAAACCCTAGCAGATAATGTGAAGGAAGGGAATTTTTAAGTGACAGCCGTCGAAATTACTGTGACGTTGGATTTTCGGTGCAGTTATAAAAGTAAGAACAACGGAGAAAAACTACTGGTATTACCTCGTCGCTTGTTATGAAGTTGTTTGAAGCCACAAGCTGGTTTTGCTGAACGAGAAAAGAAGCTATACTGCCGCCTCGATTGCTCTAGGGAATGGCTGCATAGCCTGTATTTGTAGCTGGTTACTTGTGATTTATATTCTTGATGTTGGATAAACAAGCTGCAGTTATCTATCGGCGAGTGACTCGATCGGCGAATGGCTTCGCGATCATGAAGAAACAACACTTGTCTTCTTTCGTAGCTGGTCAAGGTACTTTAGTTCCATGTGTTTTTCGACAAACTTTCAAACAAGCTCTTGTGGCTTTTTTGTTTGTTTTTGTCTTTTTTCTTTCGTTGAAATTGCATTTCTAGTATTCTAAGAAATGAATTAAAACGATTTGCTTCGGGCGCCGTTCTATCCTTCGCGAAAAAAAATCTCAGCTAGCTTCCAATTTTAAACTGACGCGTACACCGACCATATATGGAGAACATGGTATATTAGCTCATATACCATAACGGCTAAACCAATCAAAATGCTAGAATTGCATTATCCAATGATTCAGTTTTTAATAATGTTCAATAGTCCGAGATAGCGAACCAATCAGATGGCTTAAATCACCAAGATCACTGATTGTGTATATACTAAAATTAAATAGCCACTGAGCACTCTTTGCCTTCTTCGTCCGCCAAGTCGAAACGCAATTGAAACTGTGCCGAATTGACCTCCTCCCCGGCCTTCTCCTTTTCCCCCAACTTAGATTCGGCAGAAACGTAAATCGACGGGATTTACAGTCCTAGTATTGAGTGTAATAATTTGTAAAATAAATTTCGCTACAAATTTACCCGTTCAAAGCCACTGAAACAATGTACTTATGTTCAGGAAACAACGTTTTTTGCCAATGTAAATCGCCAAAACACATGGAAATTTAAGTGCCGATTAAAGTCGATAATTTCGATAAAAATCAATTAAAATTGATAATCATCGATTAGCAACAATTTTTTCCTCTTTTTATTTTCAATTTAATCAATCAATTTTACCGATAGTTATCGATTATTATCGAGTATCGACTTTATCGATTGTACTGGTCAGATGTAGTAACAACATGGATATATATGTATCGTATCCAAGAAATTGTGTGAAATGAATTCTCTAGCCTGCGTAGCTGGCGGGATTCTTGTGCTCGGGGCACTTTTTTTGGCGGCGGAGCCACCATGCGAAGCGAGCGGCGAAGCCGCGAGGGAAAATCGGACTTCAAATTGACTTGTATACCCACCCTTCTCGCGGCTCCGCCGCGAAAACAATACAGTACATCCACGCTAATCCCGCCAGCTAGGCAGGCTATGAATTCTCTTTCAAGAAAAGATGTGTTAGGACCTCTTCTTAGAAGAGACTCCTATGGCTCGATTCTCGAAAGCGACCATTTCCGGCACTGACTCTTTTCTCCATATGCTCCCCAAGCGCTTTATGGCTTATCAAATTTACTTGTTCGTCTGTGTTTTTGTTTCGTCATCTTTGAAGGGATTTGTATCAAAGCGGAGACGGCTTCTCTGTTCGAATTAAAAAACCCAATTCAGAGCACAATCCCTTCATGCGCCAGAGAAGCGCAGTGAGTTTCTAAAACAATAGCGGATCACGAAATGACGTCACCTTTAGACTACAGTCAACTCCCGGTAACTCGAACCCTCGATAACTTGAACCTCCCGCTAACTCGAAGCAAATTTTTATTTCCCTTCAGATCATTTTCTGTATAATTTTACCCTCGACAACTAGAACTCCCGATAACTCGAACTTTTTTCTATTTCCCTTGAAGGTTCGAATTATCGGGAGTCGACTGTATTTTGTTCTCTTTTAATAACAAATGCAAATGTTTAGTGACGATGACTCCAGTTACACATCGAATAATCCTTGGGATTTTTATCTCAGAAACTCAGCTCTTTAAGATACACTCTTTCAACATTTCGTCAAAAGTTTATAAACAAACGCTGATATAAGTTATGTGTAGTTCACATAAGTTTGATAAAATTATTACATTTTCTGTTGTATATCAATGTTTCCATTGCGAGTCCGCGTGACTATCTCACTTT